ATAGCAGTAAAATAATGATAATTATGAAAAATAATCACAATAATGATGATAATATAATAATGATAATCCATACTGATAATAATATTAATAATGATAATAACAATAATGATAATGATAAATTATAATTATACTAATAACAAGAATATAATGATAGTAAAATGATGATAAAAAGGTAATTATAAATATAAGGATAAGAATAATGATAATAAATGATAATGATAATAATTGTAATAATAGTAAAGGATTATTATATTAGTAATAATAACATATTTATTTGATAATATTAATAATGATTATATAACAATAATAATAATGAACAATAATAATGATAATGATAAATGAAATAAAACAATATGATAAATAATAATAACAATAATAATAGTAATAATAATAATAATATAATAATATAATAATATAATAATAATAGGATAATAATAATAACAATAACAGTAACAATAGTAATAATAAAATAATAAAATAATAATAATAATGATAATAATAATAATGAGAATAATAAATTAAGATAATGTTGATATAAGTAAATAATGAAATTGATGATAATTATAATGATAATAGTAATAAACAATAATAATGTAATGATAGAAAATATAATAGTAACGAATATAATACTAATGATAATAAATAACAATTAACAATAAAATGTATAATAATGATAACATTAATAAGAGTAATGATAATAATGATGATTAATATAATAATAATAACAATAATAATATTAATAATAATTAAGGATAATAACAATGCTAATGATAATGATAACAATAATAATTACGATAATAATATTGATAATGATAATGATAGTAACAACAATATTAATAACAATAATAACGATAATAATGATAATAATAATAATAATGATAATAATGATATTAATAAAAATAATGATAATAATTAATATACTAAAATGATAATAATAATAATGAATAATGATAATGATAATATTAATAAAAAAATGATAAATTAATAAAAATGAATGAATAATAATAATAATATAAATAAATAATAATAATAAATAATAATAATAATAATAATAATAATAATAATAATGATAATATAATAATGATAATGATAATAATAACAATAATGATAATATAAAATAATAATAATAATAATAAAATAATAAAAATAATGATAATGATAATAATCAAAAAATATATGATAATAATAATAATATAATGACAATATATCCAATATGTATAATAACAATAATAATGATAAAATGAAATAATAATAATAATAGATAATAACAATAATAATAATGATAATAATAATAATAAATGTTAATAAAAATAAATAATATAAATAATGATAATAAATGATAACCCAATAAATGATAAAATAATAATAATAATAATAAAGAATACATAATAAAATAAGGATAATAATAATAAGAATAATAACCTGAAGAATTAAGAAGTAATAAAATAATTGGAGAGGGAGAATAAAAAAGAATAAAGAGCATAATGCCCGCGCGGGGCGGGGGGTGGAAAAAAAGATTGATATTAATTATTATTATATTATCATTACTATCATTATATTATTATTATTATTATTATTATTATTATTAGTATTATGTATTATCATTATTATTATTATTATTATGATTATTATTATTATTAGTTATTATTATCATTTATTGTTATCATTATTATTCCATTATTATTCATTATTTAATTATTATTAACATTAAGTATATTATTAGAATCATTATCATTATTGTTATTATCATTATTATTATTAGCATTATTATCATTATTATTGTAATTTATCACCATCATTGATCAGAGTGTCCATCTATCATTATTTAGTACTTATCATAATCATTTTTGATTATTATCATTATCATTGTTATTATTATAAATTATTATTATTATTATTATATTATTATCATTATTGTTATTAATCATTATCATTATTATTATTATCATTATTATTAATTATTATATTATATTATTATATCATTATTATTAATATTCATTTAGTTTATTATTAATATCATTAATGAGTAATAGTTCATATATAATATTATCATATCAAGAAGTAGATAGGATGATGGATATTATTAATTAATTATCATTATTTTATTAAAAGAAGATCTTATATTATTAGTAATCATTTTATCTTATTATTGTATTAATATTGTTGTTACTTATTCATTATCCATTATTCATATATTTATCGTAATTATTATAGTTATCATATATCCATAAGCCTGTCTAAATTATCATTATTATTATTAATATCATTATTATGTTATTATTATTAATATATTCATCATATTATCATACTCCTTATTAATGTTATCATTATTCATTATTATTTATTGTTATTATTAT